TTTCGATTGGAATCTTTGGATGTCTTGGGGGTCAGAATGGTTTGATGTCCCTCCAAGTTCGTTATCATACGTCCGCACAGGTTTTTATAAAATATTTTTAAAAAATATTAGCATTTTATAATCTAGATAAAATTTCTGATCTTCTGTCGAGTAGGGATGGTAATAGTTGTAAAATCTATTAAGTTCGTTCTGATACCAACATTTCAGCGATTTCCGCTCAATTGTAAATTTTGTCTTTCTTTATTTCTTTTAAAAATAGGAGAAGTTAAGAAAAGAAAAAGAATTAATAAAACAAATTTTATTCAGCGGCCTTTTCAATGACAAAAAAGTACATTATTTGGCACGATGCGGGTCAAAATGAGTGCACAAATAAAGATTTATAATAGGATAAAAATAAATTATACGTAATAAAATTAACATAAGAGGAGGGAAATTAATAGAAATTATGCTTGCGGAAACAAAAGAAAAAAAAATTTCTTTTTATTTTGTGTTTGATAAAAATATTTATTTGTTGATATTTTTATTATTGTTTAAATTTTGTTGTTTGTTTTTTTCATTCTTAACAAAAAAGTATTAAGTTTACAGGATTTTTAATTGTTACGTGAACGAAATGACGAAGTTTAATACTTCATTTTTGTAATCCAAATTGATTATTGGCGAGAAAGGTTTAACTAGTTCATTTAATTAATCTTTATGTTGTATTGGTTGAAATGAAAGTCAGACAGTGCCACGAGCGGGTTTAAATGAAAAATGGCAAAAAGGATGGAAAATTCGAAAGGTTGTAGGTTGAGATGGGAAGTTGGTGTCAGAGAGGATCGACGTCACGACAGCGGTGTATTTAGCCGAAGGTCGTGGGTTCGAATACCGCTCGTGGCACTGAGTGACTTTCATTTCAACCGTGTGTTTGAATGTGTTTAGTGACTGTTAGCCAATGATTATTTGGAGATCGTGAGGTGCGGTCTGGTGTGACGTAGGTTTTAGAAAAACATTTTCTTTATCATGCCAATGTTCGAACTTTATTGGGATCATCTTCAGGGCCTGGGATTTATAAACATCGTTTAAATTTTACAAATACGAAAAATTCACATCCTACATGTATTTGTAAAAATTTAAACAATGTTTATAAATCCCAGGCCCTGAAGATGATCTCAATAAAGATCAAAATATTGGCATGATAAAAAAAATGTTTTTCTAAAACCTACGTAGACCGCACCTCACGATCCCCAAATAACCTTACATAAAGATTAATTCATTGAAAGAAGTTATTTGGTCAATCGGACCACGAAATATAATGGGTTTAACTGTTTGTTATTTCTTCCATTAACAACCCTGTCCATCAGCATTTACGATTGGCCCTGGAGCACACCGAAATTCGAAACGCCCTCCAAAGTTTTTTTTCCTTGGAATTATGGGTAAGATAAATTTGATGAGCGCGATCGGGAGACATGAAAAAGACCTGATTCATTTCACTGAACAAGCAGTTTTGACCTGATCCATAAAAAGATGTTTTTCTATATTTAGTTTGGTATAGGGAGTCCAAGTAAGTTATTTGTCTAAGTGGTAGGTAAGGCAGGTTCACAGTTTGTTTTATAAACATTTTGTGATTGATTCAATTTGTGTGTATTTATTGATTGGATAAATACAGATATACTTCCATCATACTAATTTCCCTTATTCTGAAGAATTAGTTGACCGGGATATAGAAGGACTGTTACTCCGTTGAATTCTGAACATGAAACTGAGTAACGGAAACCGAATTAAAACTTTTTAAACAGTACGGGTTCAAGAATTATTCCCTTTTTATTTAATTCATGACCCAATTAAAATTCCTTCTAATAATTCCACGCATAGTGCTCTTGCGATTTTTCCAGGTATCAAGCATTTTCTTCCTTACTTGAACAATGGAATATTTGTACATATGAATGCGAATTGGCTGTTCAGTCATAACGCTTCTGGGAGGTTTTGCTCAAGCTTGCGTTTAATTAAACAAAAATATGTAAACATAAACAATGAAAGCAAAGCCAAAGGTTAATAAAAAATCTTTTGAGCAAATAACTATCATAAATTGTTTTCGCAACAGCTTTGTACTCTTTTAATAATTAATGAGGGCAATTTTATATATATTCCATTAAAATAGGTTCATTTTTCGTAAATCAACGGTTATTCAACTAAAACTTTAAAAAATCCAGATTTCCTCGTCTTGTAGTAAAAATGGCAAGACTAGTAGAATTTTATTTTTACATGTCTAAAGTTTTACTGGATTCAATTAATATTTTAACAAATTATTTAATTATTTTTCTTAGTGTGATACTGTGACGAGGAGGAGGAGGAACATCTTATCAAAAAGTGGGGCACTGAAGCCTTTTGGCTTATTATAAATCTCCTAGTTCCTTAGCTCAGTTTAATACATTCTTTTAAATTCTAGTAGGTTATTTGTGAAAGTCAACTTTTTTTTAAATGTGGTTATGGTTAGGGTTCGCAACAGCAGAAGTCATGTAAACCCTCATGGTGCCAGGGTTTAAAAAAAAGCCCATTTGTAAGTATGTCGGGTTTGAACGCAGGGCCGCTGGATTCTTACCCGAGATATTTACCTTACCGTGATGAGCCCCGTGTCAACGCCTAAACTGTTCCTGCCACAGACGCCACAGAAGGTTATTGACTATCATTACTGCTATTTTTTCTCTGGTCGCCAACGTTATGCCTTCATTAACATAATAGGGTATCAGTTTCTTTCTTCTCATCCCATAACTTAAAAATGGTTCATCAATGAATATTCCTGTGATGTGTAGGTGTTTTCTCAGATACCGGTTTCTAGTATGAAGGGCTTACTATGGCATGAGTATTACCCTGTTTAGTTGTACCAATGTGGTTGCCAATTTAAACACATTTAATCATGAATTATTAAGTCTGGTACCTCTGGAGTAAGTCCACACCAAACTTAACCAACTTTTGTTTTTCTAAGATGGATCCAATTCGGTTCTAGTCCTTGCAGATTCTCCTTTGTACGATGTCACCCGAAATATTACTAGGTTTTATGGTTTTTCTGGAGGTTTTGGATGCAAAAACTGACCATTTTGGATGACACTTTTACGAGCTAATACTTTTAGACCCAATTGGCTGTTGACCTTACAAGGATGTTTTGGTCAATATCTTTAAAGATTCAGCTTTGTCAGCACAAGCATTGATAACATGTAGTTCAGCTTAAAAGACCGAGGTACTTTCATAGTGTATGCTCTGATTTTGGAAACAAATTCGGCTGCTTTACTGATTTTGCAAACTGTATACAACATTGATGTTTTTTCTGATGGTTTTTTACTTTAAAGCTTGCTAAAACTCCGTAATAAAGAGATAGATGTATCAACCACTTTTTTACTAACAAATAATCTGGATGTCAGTATGGTCTGAATGAAAAAACAAAAAACAATTTCAATTTTATCTGCCAAGCATTCGATTTATTTGTGTGGTGATTAGTGACCGTTAATCGATAATTATTCAGAAATCGTGAGATGCGGTCTGGTGTGATGTAGGTTTCAGAAAAACATTTTCTTTATCGTGTCAACGTTTCGATCTTTATTGAGATCATCTTCAATAATGCCTCTGGCACTCTGGGCACTCTCAACACTACACGCAAGAATGGCACACGGAAGACAAACACTTTGAGCCCTGAAAATGATCTCAATAAAGATCTAAACGTTGGCACGATAAAGAAAATGTTTTTCTGAAACCTACAAAACACCACACCGCATCTCGATTTCTGAATAATTATTCGATTTATTATAAAGTCATTGTCAGGTCAAAACAGACAAGACAGGTCGTGTAGGTTATGCCTTCATTAAGGTAAAATGGTTTTCTTTTTGTATTGCATAACTTAAAAATTGATCATTGTTTATTCCTGTGATGTGAAGTATATGCTAATACTTTTAAAGCCAATTGGATGTTTGTTCTTACGAAGAAGTTTTGGTCAATGTTTTTCAAGATTTTCCATGGCGCAAGCATGGATAAAATGTAGTTCAGCTTAAACGAGTTCATAGTGTAAGCTCATATTTTGGAAACAAATTTGGCTGCTTCACTGTTTGTCTGCTTGTTCACTAACCAAAATTCCTTTTTGCCCTGTCACCCGAAATATTGCTAGTTACGTTTTCTCTGCAGATTATGGATGTCACACTTTTACCTGCTAATACTTTTAAAGCCAATTGGCTATTTGATCTTGATAAGGATAAGGTTTTTGATAAGGAGATTAGGTCATATAATTTCCATTTTCAGGAGTAGTTGTCGGATTTTATTTGTTATTGTTGTATGCCCTTAACATTTCTTCCCAATGCAATTTATTATGCTTTTGGAGTCTGTATTAGCTTTTCCTACCTCCTTGTCCTTTTCCAATTGACTGGTAATGTTTCTAAGTCAGTTTAAGGAGATTCTCGTTATTGACCCTGTGATGTATTGATTTGTTAATCTTTGCACACTGTCTATTTTTTTTGTGGGTTGTTTTTGGTTTGATTTCGATCAGCAGATTAATGAAACATAGAATTTAGATGTTATTGTTGCCAGATAGCATAGTCAATATGCCATATTTGGTTTTAGTCCTCAAGCAAGATTCAGTACTTTCTTAACAAATTTTATTCTTCTCCCAAAAAGACTCTATCGTCTAGTTAATTTTTTCTTTTATATATTTACTTTGGCGATTGATTAGCCTTTTCAGTTTACATATTTTTCTTTTTATTCGGTAGATTGGGGTTGAGGCCAGGAAGGCAGAAACAAAATTTATTTTCTTGTCGAGCTTTCGGCAGAATATATCGCCTTCATCTGGACTCTGTATTAACAAATTAATATAAATAAATGTTCAAATATACAATTTTCAAAATTTTCTTAATTATTTATTCATTTTTCTTTTGTTGTACTATGCAAAGAATAAGTGGTGCTTATGTCTATTATATTGAATTATCTTGTCCGAATTATTTTTTCGTCAAGTTCAAATTATTAAAATTATTCATTTGGTACAGTTAGAAAATGTCGACCAGCATTGCCAAAGATGAAATTCTGAAATCGGAAATGCAGTCCAATTTTGTACGGCTGTACCTGCGCCATGTTGTGTGAACGGCGGAGGAGGACTTATTCGTCTGGACGTCATTAGCGTCCGGATGCTCCAGACACGACGGCAGCCGGCAAAAACGTAACGCAGTTCATTAGGTGGTCGAAGACGGCTACGGTCTATAGATTTTCGGAAACCACACATGGTGTCGGCTCACACGATAGATGTATGAAATTTCCACCGCTGAAAAAAAAAAACCGAAACAGTAGACCTGACAGAACTCAACGAAGAAATGTTACTTGTTTTTAATGTAATGGATTTATTATTTAGGTAGTCTGGAACATGAAGGATCAAATTGAGGCTGAAGTTCGAAACTTGTAAACACAATACATCAATGTCTCCATTTTTTTTTTTTTTTTTTTTTTTTTTAATGTCGTAAATCACTGGGTTGATCATGCTTATGTTGTGATAAGAAACATGAATAATCCTGACAGGCAATTTAAATATTTAATTGTGTAAATTCTGTTAAATAATCTATGCAGAATACATGGATAATACACGTTTAACATAAGATTCAAATTATAGTTTAATTATGCGCGAGATGTTTGCATGGTCTGTTCCAGTAGGTGAACTGTTAATAAGCTTGATCAAACTTGACCATCTTGGACTTTTAATTATAAAATTGTCCTCGTGTTGAAAGCCGTGTGGAATAAATAATTCCAGAGAACCTACAACGAAAAAATTGTCTTCTTCCTGTCTCGATTTGCGTTTTTCTTCACCTGTGGTTTCGCGTTCGCACGAAGATGAAATAACAGTTGTTTCGCGTGCTGGATTTGGCGAGCATGACGAAAAAATTAAATCGTTATTAGTGAGACACTGAGGGAGAGATGTAATCGTTTAATTAGCCATTTAATTCGGGCAGGCGGTGTTATTTGTTAAATGCGATTTCAACAATTGCAGGAACTGGCGGACAATTACAATCTCAAACTTAAAACGCACCTCCCTCAAGAACAAAGTTATATTTATTTTGCACAGATTTTTAATCAGCGTGAAGATGACATTTTTATCTAGACATTGTGTTCATCCGTAAATTCTAATTTCCTAATTTATTTATTTTATTTATTTTACAACTACATAGAAAATGCAACAAGCAAAAATTATGTTATTTACAATAATGTAGAAGATGAAGAAGAAGAGGTAAACCTTGCAATGTGAGGAGATAATCAAATGGACGGGTCTTAAAAGTGGGAAGTGAAGGGTCGTGGCGGATAGAGCATGGAAGGGAATTCCAGAGGCTGGATGGAAGGATGAGGAAGGAACGACTGAAAGTTGTAGTTTTCTGTTTAGGAGGATAGAGTTCTGGGGCCTTTCTTGACGTAAGCCAAGCTTTTGATCTAGTTTGGCACCCAGGCCTGCAAGGTGGTTAAATACCTCTACCACTTGAGCTATCGTGACTTCGATCCTCTCGGACACCAACTCTCCATCTCAACCTACAACCGTTCGAATTTTCCCTCTTTTTGCCATTTTTCAAAGAGCAGCGGAGTATTTAGCCGGAGGTCGTGGGTTCGAATCCCCCTCGTGACACTGACTTTTTTACTTCAACCTTACATAAAACGAATAATTAAGAGAAAGAAGTAACTCGGTCAATTGACCACTAAAACGTAAATGGATTAATATTTAATAAGTAAAATAAGTATCACTTCACTAATAGCTCCCCGTGGCCAAGTCGCAGAGAATCGAATCCTGATTACACGACATTTGAAAAATAGAAAACAGGATGAAAAATTCGAAAGGTAGGTTGAAATGGGAAGTTGGTGTCCGAGTGAATCGAAGTCACGATAGCTCAAGTGGTAGAGCAGCGGAGTATTTAGCCGGAGGTCGTGGGTTCGAATCCCCCTCGTGACACTGACTTTTTTACCTCAACCGAGACCTTACATGAAAAGAATAATTAATTGATATAAAATAATAGTTTAATAGATAGATTGCGAAAGAAAAGTGGCGAAAGGAAGATTGATAGACCCATAAAAAGTAAATATGAAAAGGAGAGACACTTAGTTCAAATTTTAATTGAATTGTTGTTTGTCGTTAAACTAGCCTTTAAATATGAATATTTTGCTCCTGCACAATTGTTTTTTTATTTCGCAATAAAGGTAATTTATAATAAAACCCCGCGGTAATATTAATAAGGCGTAATTTTTTTAAGTTGTATCACTATTATTAAAAAGAATTATTCTGGTCTGAAAAGACGCCATCAAGAAGAAAAATATACATGTATCCAGTTTTCATAAGGGGTTTTACAATTAACAAAACCAACCAGTTGCTACCGGCGGACAAGATTATCCCGTAATAAATACATATTAAATGTAAACTAGGTAAATTTTGCAATTCGTATTATGCGTAAATTAATTTAAAATTATACATAACGCTTCCTATGCTTGTTATGCACTTCGGGATTTCACGGTGCGTCCTTTCCATTTTGAAAAATTAGCATAAATTTTTTCATATCAAAACAATTAAAATAAGAATGAATGCCCATTTTGATTAAGTAAACCATGCTGAAACATTCAGAATTTCAACAAGCTTCTTCAATTATTATTTACGGCATGTTATAAATTACAATATGCAAAAATTGAGGGTTGGTTGAAAAATTGTGGCAGATATGAGGGGATATTGACGATGTTTGTAAGATGTTAACTCGTGTTAACTCGAATAGAGAAATGCCCAGTAAGATCGTGAACGTTCCCTTCTTTTCTTACCATGTTAAACGTTAATTTTTCCGCAATGCTGCGCATGGCGATTGGTAGATCCAACAATAAACCTACAACCGTCCTTGACGGCTTGTTATTTGTTTTGTGTTAAATTTGAATATGCCAGAAGTTAATAAAAAAGGAAAATTAATCAACTCTTCCATTCAAAATGCTATTTATGCACTTGAAAAGTATTAACAAATGACACGCTTCAATTCGTTCCGACATACCTAACTTGTATCCTAACGTCTAACAGCCTACAACTTTATATGAAATGTGTTTATTATGATTGAGAGTATAAAGACAGGTCAGATTTAACAAAAGCATTGGTCTGATTTAATTAATGCGTATTTAAGAATAAAAATACATGTAAACTAAAAAACAACTGTTAAATTCATGGCTGCCAAGTTGGTTATCTACACCCTAACGGATAGCAATGTGACTACATTTTCGACCTAACATCTAACATTGGCCCTGGCCATGAGGCTCGCGAGGTGATCAAAAGAGTTAACTAACTTTACTGAGTGAGCTATTAAAAAGTGTTGATTCACTGAGAGAGCAGTTTTGATCCGATGTTTATTAAGAGCGGTTTTTTCCACCTCCAGTTAGTACACACTTAAACATACTTATTATTAGCATGTTCTAATTCTATCTACTTGATAAGGCAAAAAATGTATCGATATTTTACTTGTACCTTCTAGAATATGAAGCTTTTTTTTCCCTTGGCTTTGCATCAATGCATCGGCCATGCGTTTTCCTTCGGCGTCGCCGCAGTTATAGAATTTACTATGTTTTATATTTTGATGTCATTCTTTTTTATAAAGGTCATTAAACTGTCAAATACTGGAATATTTTTAGTGTCGCTCAATATAGTTGCTATATTTGTTGGGAACGCTACTCCGTGCTTTCTTAAATTCTCATATAATTCCTCTCTACCTTTGTTTCTGCTGGGGCATGTTAATATGACATGTTCCGGGTCGGCATATGTTTCTCCGTCACAGTCGCAATTTGCGTTTTCTATGAGGGATATTTTTGCTAGATGGTGCGGAAGTTGGTTGTGGTTAAGTCTAAATCTGATAATGGTAGTGAAAAAGTTCCTTGGTGTAGTAAGTCTGTGGAACCATGGCTTGTAGGGAATGGCGGGTTGTATTCTTGCATAGTATTTCCCTTTAATTCGTATTCTTTTTGCCAATTCTGTTTGGCCATTTTATTTATATGTGCTTTGATATGAATTTAATATGAAGCATTATTCTACTTTTTGTCAATGTATCATTTTGTAAGGAATTGTACTTTTGAATTGATTGTACGAAGAATTATAAAATTGGTCAACATAATCAAGGATATAAACAGGTTAAAATCAAGAGTTGGTCTGTCTGAACAACCTCACTCTTCATTATGCGGTCATCGGAAACAAATTAATAGTAGAGTAGTGCAAAGCTTTCGATCTATTCAAGACATTCCTCAGGATCCCTAAGTCTAGACATATACCTGATCCACTTTGTCGAGAAGTGAAAAATTGAATCTGACAAGGTTTAATTATTTATAAATTAACAATAATTAAGTCAGCCAATTTTGATGTGAGGCAGTTTCTTCTGTTTACATAAATTGAGAATGTATGATTCACCCTGACTAACAATCCCGAGTGACAGACAAAGCCAGCGATATATTCTCCTAGATTTCTACTATGTTTTCATATCGATTCTTCAGCCCCCAGTGGTTTAAAACTATAAAAGCTATACAGTAACACCCCTTTCAATTTAGGGATGACACTTTCGAAGATATTCCAAAACGTGAATTAGGCACATATTAGAATGCTGACTGGGGGAATGTCGGAGGAGGGGAGATATTTAATTTGAACTGGAAAAACAGATCAGTTGTATTCCACATTCGAAACCTATTGTTTGAGCTAGCGCCAATATTTAAAATTAAATTGTATAATAATTTAGTACTCACGAGGGTGAGTTGAGCGACTATATTGTGTTGTATGGCTACAGGTGGAAACTAAAGTTTGGAATAATTAAAATATTTTATTCATCCTACGTTACGATTTTGGGTTTGCCTGGTATATACGTTTTGTAAATATATTTTATTTTTTCAGTTAATGTGGAAAGTGTGCTTTTATTTGTTTTATCTTCCCCTTCCTATCCCCGAGTTTTGGAAGTGTCGATCCCTTTGTTGTGGCATTGAAAGAACAACGTCACCACAGTAATATAACGAATAGACAATATTGTCCAATTGATCCTACTGTCTATACGATCGTATCGTGCACCCTCCTAGTTATACTTTTATCAGCCATAATAAATTGTGCTCAAGGCTTCAGTAGATGTTCTTGTTAATGGCAATAGGGTGGCCGACTAGAAGGGGGAAACAACCCCAGGGCTTGGAGTGGGAAAGCAGCGGAGGAAGTTGCCTAGAAGTCTAATGAAGTCCAGACGGTCAGTCGCGTATGACATTCCGTGATCGAGTGCGGCGTCCTAATTAGGCGGTCAGATCCCAGGGGGCTGACGAGGAAAACGCCGGAGGAAGTGCTCCGACACCTCGAACTACTCTGGTTCGTTAGGTGGTCAAATTGACACCGGCAGTCATAAATAATACGCTGGGTGTCCGACTGTCGTAAACTCGGACTTTGATTTAAGGCCTTTCG